TGTTTGCTCGATATTATTGGAAATGTGTGTCTCAGTTGAACTTTTACATAATAAATGCACTTCAATGGTAAAATTTGCTGCATTTCTCCGGGGAGATGCAGCTAAATGAAGCTGATTTGATGTTTTCTCCAAGCGAGCTGGACGAATGTGGCCTGTGAGACTAGCCGATTGTATCATTAATAGCCACTTTTACTTATTACATGACACAATGGCATGCCATACCACTTGAGTGCCATCTAGTGGCTGAAAATGGTAGTGTTCAATATTTTCAGTCAGAATGAGGTAAAACTGTCACATGTCAGCCAAAAATTGTTTTTTTTTAAATATGGGGAAAAAATCCATAAATATGTCGCTTCGGCGAATAAGTTACAGGGCATCTAAATTATGCAAAAAACTTGACTTATAGACTGAAAAATACGGTACCTCCATGTCCTCTCTAACTGCATCCATATATCTCCTCTTTGGTCGTCCTCTTAGTCTTTTTCCTGGCAGCTGCATTTCTAACATCCTTCTACCAGTATACTCACTGTCCCTCCTCTGGACATGTCCAAACCATCTCAGTCTGGCCTCTCTAAATCTATCTCCCAGTTGTTCAGCCTGTGCTCTACCTGTATTCTGAAGGTTAACTTGGTGTAAATTCAATTACTGTTGTCTGAGAGTTTCAATAAAATTTGTTCATTGGGTCATTAGAAATTCTGCTAACAGATTGATATGACCCAAATGGTCAAATGTCTAAGTTTTAAATACAAGCCTTAACTCAGGACATGTGTTGGAGATGACTCTCTTCTACCACCACATTAGATTTTGGCACAATATCTGTAACATTGACTGACTTTTAGCCATGTTTGTGTTTGCTTAGTTTGATTTGCTGCAGTGGCCATTTTGTAGTGGGTTGACTCCAGAAGGTAATCAAATGTCAGATTACATACTTTCTGAGAACTTCAGTAAAATTTGTCAGGTGCTTATTGAGACATTTTGCTAAAAGAAATAAACACAAGCACACACGGGTAATTTCATTATTGCCCACTTTTTGACAGTGGGTGATACTAACTAGTTTTTAAAAAGCATGTTTATTGTCAGGCGGCACAGTGGTGCAGTTGGTAGAGCTGTCACCTCTCAGGGAGAAAATTCAAATCTCGGCCGGTGGGCCTTTCTGGGTGGCGTTTGCTTGTTCTCTCCGTGCATGCGTGGGTTTTCTCCAGGTACTCCAGTTTCCTCCCACAAACCAAAATCATGCATGTTAGGCTGATTGGTAACTCTAAATTGTCTCTAGGTGTGAGTGAGAGAGTGAATGGTTGTTTGTCTCGTTTGTCTCTATGTGTCCCTGTGATGGACTTGCGACCAGGGTGTACCCCGCCCCTCGCACAGTGATTGCTGGACATGGGCACCGGCGACCCCCGTGACCCAAAATGGAATAAGCAGGTAAAGATAATGGATGTATGGATGAATTGTCTTCATGTGTGCCTGTGATGAACTGGAGACCTGTCCAGGGTGTCCCCTACCTCTCGCACAGTGATGGCTGGATATGGGCACCAGTGACCCCAGTGATCTAAAAAGGTAAAAAGTGGGTAAAGATAATCAATCAATCAAGTTTATTTGTATAGGACATTTCAGCAACAAAGCTGTTCAAAGTGGTTTACATCATAAAAACGCAAAATTAAAAGCCATAAAAACAAGATATAGTCACCAATTGAGAAACCAGTAACAAGCATTACATTTTGTCGTGTGCCATCAAATATATTGATCAATGTTCCATTTATTATAGTTCAAAGGCAACTCTAAACAGGTGGGTTGATGTATGTATGTATGTATGGATGGAAGGATGGATGGATGGATGGATGTATGGATGGATGGATGATGTTTATTGTCGTCCTTCATGGCGCAAACAGGAGGAATTGAAAATACCCTCTGTCCATCCATGTTGTGAGGATATACTGTACATGTACACAGTGTAACTCCTCCCCACTTGAATATCTTTCACCAAAAACATTAAGGGTTAATTGCATTCTCTGTTCAGTTCCCATCCAGAAAAATACTCATCTTGAAAACTCCAAACATTCACTATATGAATCCCTCAGATGGGGAACATCAAACCACTTGTTTTATCTCTCCAGTTTTAGCTTCCCTCCATTGGCTCTTTGTCAAATTCAGATTTGAATTCAACATTTTACTTCAGATTTGAATTCAACATTTTACTTCTTACCTAAAAAGCTCTCAACAACCTAGCTCCATCTTATATTTGAGATCTTATTGTTCCATATTTTCCTAACAGAGTGCGTTGCTCTCAAACTGCAGGTTTACTCGCGATCCCTAGAGTTTCCAAAAGCAAAATGGGAGGAAGATCTTTCAGTTATCAGGCTCCTCTCTTGTGGAACAAACTTTCAGTTTCTGTCCATGAGGCTGACACATTGTCCAGTTTTAAGACTGGGATTAAGACTTTCCTTGTTGATAAATCCTATAGTTAGGGTTGGATTGTTATGCTGCCTTAAGCTCAGACTACTAGTGGACAAATTGACCTAATTTCCTTAAATGAATTGTTAAAATGTAATAGTTTTCATTTGATATTATTTCTATCATAACATGTGATTCTCTACCTGCCATTGTGTATCTGTTCCTCCTTCCTGTTCTTCTCAAACCCCGCTGGTCGAAGCAGATGGTCGCTTGTCCTGAGCCTGGTTCTGCTAAATGTTTTTTCCTCATGAGGGAGTTTTTCCTTTCCACTGTCGCCTTCATGCTTGCTCAAGATGAGAGTCTGTGATGAAGTTAAACTCAAAGCAGTCTGCTCCTCAGATAATTTATGTTAACTTATTTTTTATATATGAATGTTTCTGTTCAGTGCCCTGAGATGACTTCTGCTGTGACTTGGCGCTATATAAATAAACTGACACTGCACTAAAACCATGGATATACGGTGCGATCCGATGTGGTGATATCTCCGTATTCTTCACATATACGTACAATTTCCGGGAAATTCCGTATCGCATCCCCGGCAGATTCAGTTTTCGGATATCCCCGTATACGGACACAAATGGATCCTAAAAAAATCCCAAAATCCGGATACTTATCTGCGGCAGATCCCGAAAATATGTGACTCTGTTATCCCTCGGGATTCCAGCTTTAGATCTCTTTGCATTCTTGCCGCATCTTTGACGTATGGTTGGTTTCAGATTCATGCATATACGTGACTGATGTCTGTCGGATATTTACAGATTTTTATCTGCGAAGGATCCTGAAGTATGCGATCCCTCGGAGTTCCAGCTTCAGATCTCGTTGCATACTTGCTGCATCTTTGACGTATGGTTGGTTTCAGATTCATGCCTATACGTGACAGATGTCTGTCGGATATTTACAGATGTTTATCTGCGA